AAACATGGAGCTGACACACTAGTAGAAGATTTACAGTGATGTTCATAATGCTGAACATGGCAAACATAGAACTTACACGTTAGTAGAAGAAACAGACACAAATTAAGTGAATAAAAAATTTAAAAACTGTAAAGTATCTTAAGTGCTAAATTAAGCAAATAATGGATTGAGATTCAGAATAAATTTTATTCTATATAATATAAAGCCACTCACGGAATTTAAATTATTTTTAACAGATCCAATTTACATGATAAGAAAAGAACTTCTGCTGCTTTTGAGTGAAATATGTACAGAAGAAGGGGAGTTCAATTAAAAACAAAAGAACCCACTGCCACTAAGTTGACTCCGACTAACAGTGAGCCTACAGGACAGAGTAGAACTGCTTCACAGGGTTTCAGAGACTGTATATCTTTATGAGAGCAGACAGTTTTATCTTTCTCCTACGGAACATCTGAGAGATTCCAATCACTGACCATTTGGATAGCAGCCCACTGCTTATTAACCCACGGCACCACCAAGAATTCTTATAGAAGAATGGACTTTAATTGGTGTGGCGCTGCAGACTAATGCACTGGACTGCAAGGTTGGTTTGAATTATAAGGTCGGTGGTTCACACTCACCAGTCGCTCCTTGGAAACTCTATACAGAGTTGCTATGGGTCGGAACCGACTTGTCGGCACTTAACAAGAACTGTGGTGGGCAGGGGTGGAGAACGTCCTGATCGCAGGCCTTAAAGGCCAGTGAAATCATCTGCTGTGGTTCTGCCACGGCAACCGTAGTTTCACCAGGGCTCCTTATTCTTCCTTGATCACCCTATTTAAAAGTTCCTCCTGCCCACTTCTCCATCCTACACCTCAGTCTCCTTATCCTGTTCTACATATCCTTTTTTCCTATAGCACCATTTACCTTTTAATAAATAAATTTATAGTTCTTGTGTGGTGCTGTGGGATAAAGCACTGAACTGGAAGGTTGGTTTAAACCACAAGGTTGGTGGTTCAAACTCACCAGTTGCTTCTTGGAAACCCTATACAGGGTAGCTATGAGTCGGAACTGAATCAACGGCACTTTAACAACAACATACCTATAGTAAAGGAGCTCTGGTAGTGTAGTTAAGAGTTGGGCTATTAACTGAAAGGTCAGCAGTTCAACTACTAGTGGCTCTATGAGAGAAAGATAAGGCTTTCTGCTCTCTTAAAGATTTACAGTCTTGGAAACCCTATACAGGGTCACTGTGAGTCTGAACTGACTCAACGACACATAACTACTACCATACCTATTATTTACTGTTTGTTTCCCACTACTAGAATGTAAGCTCCATGGGACAGGGATCTTTGTTCTGTTTATTAAGCTATTCCCAAGCACCTAGAACAGTGCCTGACACATAGGCCGTGCTTAATACACATTTGCTGGATGAGTGAATTTCTTTAGAAAGCAGAGAAACAGAAAAGGTTAAAACAAAGATCACTTTTAACAATATATCTATTTCTCACTGCAATAGAAATTTATTTTAAAAGTTGAAGTAAGATACTCTCCCCAGTTCCACCACACTAGAGGTGAAAGGAAAATGAACAGAATATATATGAATTAGATGGTTTACTCTAATGAGAATAACAATATACAAATAAATTAAAAATTAAAAAGATTGATCATATACTTACATTCCTGATACTAATGACACTTTGAACACATGCTGAGCAGTGGAAGATGGATTGCCTAAAGCCACATTAAGTGCTCTGTCGATACTGAAGGCCATCTGAGAGAGATAGCTTTCTGGCTGCTGTCCATAACCATCATATGGCACATAGAGGTAAGGAAAGATGCCATGTAGATGAAGACACGTCTTCTGACCTAAAATGTAACACAATACACAGTTTTAGTCTTGAGAAGCATTTAAAAATTACAAATTACATTACAAAGCTCAGAATGCAAGCCACTTAAATATTCTAATAGCAACACAGCTTATCTAAGGTAAAACTTGAGAATTAACCCGCAGTTGTATACAACTGCGGGTTAATTCTCAAGTGTCATTAAGTGGGTTCCAACTCATAACAACCCTATTTAGGCTTTCTGAGGAATGGCTGGTGGATTTAAACCACCAACCTTGTGGCTAACAGTCCAGTGCTTATCCGACTAGCACCTCACCAGGACTCTAACCCTTAATTAAAGCCACCTATATTAACTACATTTTACAAGAGAACACTTGCAAGCATTTTGCAAACATGTTTCATTTTGCAGTATGATTTAACTAGCAGTTTTAATGAAAATATATTTGAATATTTTACTTTTACAACCCAATTAGTTTTATGTACTTTACTGAATCAACTATAATACCACTTTGCACAATGTTTTCAAGAATTCACTAAAGTCTACTAAATAAATCAATTAATGCCTGTTTGGGCATAAATGTTTTCAATCAAAAGACTTCCATAAGGCAAAGTCAGCTTCAGGAGAAGATAGAAAGTAAAAAGAGTTAAGTGTGTGTACTTCTGTTATTGTTGCCGCTGTGTCTCATTGAGTCAGTTCCCACTCATAGCAATCCTGTATAGGTTTTCCAAGAACGGCTAATGGGTTTGAACTGCCGACTTTTTGCTTCCAGTCTAGTGCTTGTCCTACAGTGCCACACCAGGGCCCAATTTTGCAATTGTTATTTTTGTTAGGTACCATCGAGTCAGTTCTGACCCATAGCAGCACCATATAGGGTTTCCAAGGAGCAGCTGTAGAGTTTGAACTGGAAACCTTGTGGTTAGCAGTCCAGTGCTTATTCCACAGCACTACACCAGGACTCCAAATTTTTTTGAAGGGTTGGGGGGATTAGGGTAAAAATAAAAAAATTTTGCTATGAGAAAAAAAAACCCAACAAATCAAAACAAAACCCCTACAGACTGTCTGTAATGGACTTTCAAGATAAGTAAATTGTATATTTATTGGAGTGGGGCAGAGAGTCACATGAGAGGAAAAAACAATCAAGCACACTTTCAAGAAGCCATTCTGTCAGTCAAGGTTCTGAAGGGGTAAATGGTGCTGGCTTGCCAACAGGGAGTCCGGCACAGCCACGATAAAGTAATTCATTGAGAAACCACAAAAGCAGTGCCAGAGAGACAGCAATGTGCCCCTGACAAGGTGACTAGCAAGAATAGCAGCAACAAAAGCAGATGCACCGTTACTCGCATGAATCTGGCAGGGCTGTATGAAAGTGGTTCCTGTCCTCAGGGTATTGTCCCTAGTTCCCCTTGGGTGCATGTCATTTGTCTAATTCAAACAGAAAGGGGAACAGCCATGATGGAAGAACACATCCATTCTTCTCATGCTGACACTCACTATACTGGCTCCTGCCAACACAAGCTGCATGCTTCTTCCCACCCCTCATCCTTCCTCTTTTGGCTTTGCTCTCTCTTTTTTTAATGTATTTGGTTAGTTTTGTTCGAAAGTAACTATTATATAGAGAGGTACATAGAGCTTAATTTCATACTGTTTGAGTACTATTTTCCCATATATAAGGTTTTTGTTAAGTGTTATAGAGTCGATTCCGACTCATAACGATCCTGTGTAGGGTTTCCGAAGAACAGCTGGTGGGTTTGAACTGCTGACCTTGTAGCTATCAGTCCAGTGTTCATCCTACAGCACCACAGTTTATAAGTTAGAATGATTTATATAAACTATATAAGGAGCTCTGGTAGCGTAGTGGTTACGAATCGGGCTGCGAACCTTAAGGTCAGCGGTTCGAAACTACCAGCCGCTCCGCGGGAGAAAGATGAGGCTTTCTACTCCCGTACAGATTTACACCCTCGGAAACCCTGTACAGGGTCGCTATGGGTCGGAACCGACTCGCCGGCACTTAACAACAACAACAAATATAGGAAATAATTCTATGTTCTATTGTTATTTCATGTTTATACTACTTACGTGGGGGCATACCAGGTTGTCTCACTTTAAAAGTATAGTTAATAATGGAATTAACCTAGAACCCTGAAATAGACACTACATAAAGTATAATAAAATTAGAAAAATTAATAGAATAACATCTGTACACTCCAGATTGTAATTTGAAACCGCATCCTTCATTCTTTTTGAGAATTACAAACTGTGTTACTGTTAAACCAATTTCAGTTTCTAATTTTATAAGCAGTTATGCTAATAACTTTAAAATGTTTTAAAATAAATAAAAAATTCTCTTCAGTTAAAAGTTAATCCTTACATTGTATTTCTAAATACAACATGGCACCTATTTTCTAAGAGCACACTTTTGAAATTCCTCAAATAGAAAACATAGAAATTGTTATGATGAGTAAATCTTAAGAAAAAAATTTTTTAACCTATTCACTGATGATGTGCTTGAATGCTTTTTAAACATGCCACGAAATAAGGTTATACTCATTGCTCTTCCGGACTTGAATCACAATTCGGGTAAGGTAACTGACATGCTAAATCACAAAGAGGGGAAGGTGGGGATATACAGAAGTATCCCACAGTAAGTTGACAAATAAATCCAAGACCAGTGATTACAGAATTATAATCATATATATTACAAGCAATATTATGTTTCTAAAATATGGAGTTATTATATCTTAATAATAGAATTTTTGTTATAATTTTACAAAATACAACTCCAAAATTAGATTTCTATAAATAGCTTATTTATAAGCAGTTGTTATTAGGTGTCATGGAGTCGGTTCCGAATCATAGCAACCCTGCATAGGGTTGTCGAGGAGCGGCTGGTGAGCTTGACCCGCCAACCTTGAGGTTCAAACGACTTTGTGGTCCAGTGCTTATCCTACAGTGCCAAAGCAGGACTCCTCTGACAAAATATCTTTTAAAAAATATAATTTTGTATGTACTTTTTTTTATGTCTCCTATGAAGTAGTGGTCAAATCAATTATCTTTCTAGTCAAAGGTTTTGTAACTATAATAATCCTGGAGTGTATGATTTAAGTATAAAAACAGGAAATTATTTACGTGGCACTGGGTTAAGTGCTTTACATATATTCTTTTTTAAAAACTGAAAACAACCTGGCAGGCAGTTCAGACACTTACAGATTGGTGCTGCCCAGTTCCAATCATACCTACCCACAATAAATATAGTGTTATGCTAAAAAAAAACCTGACAAATAACACACAGGTGAATGCTCCAAAGCTCACACGGCTATTAAATAATTGAATCTGGATTTTAAAGCAGACCAACCAAATCTAAAACTTAGTAACTCTCTACTTAACCATGTTGGTTCAATTTTTTAAAAAGAGAGCGGCTCCTTTAATTTGTCAGTTATTATTTTATATTGCTGGTTCCTTATGTGACTCCTTCACTTCACAACAAATTTGGGGGGGCTCTGAGATTGTGTCTGAATGATCACAATATTTCCCTGGACCCAGCCCAAATAAATAATTACTGAATAAATGAATGAAACTTCAGCAAAATAGAACAATTATTCAAGGAGAAAGGAATGTCAAGAAAGTCTGAATAATTGAAAAACCAAATCAATGAAAAAAGAGAGGCTCTGGTACTGCCATAGGGGTGACAGGAGGACAAGCCTACATGGCAAGGTTAGTACCCAGTTAACTGCACTCTCCTACCCTATATGATCTGAAGCCCCATGCAAAACTATAGTCACTATATCATAGACATACCTCTGTCTGGTTCTACTATAGCTAGATATGCTCAGTACCTTAGTCACCACCTCTCCTCAAGAACAACCTCCTAAAAGAACTACAGCACAAAGAATTCTTGGCAGAGCACCAACTGCTCTAATACAGAGTAAGTATCACAGAAATGGAAATGTTAAGAAACAAGAGAAAAAAAGAAACAAAAAATTGAATGAGGAAAGGGAAATATATACAACATGAATATGAGAGTCAATTACTTTTTGGCACCACAAGTCTGTAAATTTACAATTGTGTAATAGCAACTTTCGGCAGAAAGATGAAGCTTTCTGCTCCTGTAAAGATTTGCAGCCTCGGAAACCCTGTGCAGGGTCACTATGAGTCAGAACCGACTCCACCGTATTTAACAACAAAAGCAACTTTATCTAGAAAAGATATAGACCACTTCTATTATTTCCCTCCATCAGCTCTATCCCCACACAAACCTGTAAAGTCCCTGAGAGATAAACTAGATTACCACAACCACAATCCGTTAGGTAGAATTTACTTCAGCTGTGAGAAATGGTCTTAAAATCAGCAAGTGAAACATTAAAATTAGCAGCTTCTCTCTTAGAACACTATTACAGCTGGTAATAGAGACCCAGGTTCTTTCAACATCTAGTTATTGGCCTAGACAGAGGAAGTTGTAACCTCAATTCAGGCTTTTCTACTATACTCCAGTGAGTACCACACACCAAACTCAAAACTCTCTGCCACTGAGTAGATTCCGACTCAGAAAGACCCTACAAAGGGTTTCCAAGACTAAATCCTTATAGGAGCAGACAGCCTCATCTTTCTCCTGAGGAGCAGCTGGTTGGTTTGAACTGCTGACCTTAACAGTTAGCAGCCTAGCCCACAGTATCACCAAGGCTCTTTTTTTAAAGGATGATTTTAGAAAACTAGCAAATAGTTGAGGGTTTAAAAACTTCTAAGTAATTTAAAATTCTTTTAAAAATCTAGGGTATTAACTAACATGTATGTCTCATTTAGAGAAGAAAACATGTTTTCTGACAGTCCTTATTGTCATGTTAATCTTAATTTAAGCAATAAGTCTGTAGGATAAAGATTGTCTTAGGAAGAATAAGGCTATGTTTATAGATTTCAAAAAATTTAGGAGTATGAAATTCTCTATTTGACTGATGTAACCTAATTTCAAAAGTTATAACACAGTTGTCTCAGGTTCCATAGAAATTTGTCTCACAGTTCAAGGAGGC